GAGGATAGTACGATACTCCATAGGAGATATATGTTGGCCAATCCCATCTATAGGGATAGCAAGAAGAAAATCTTGAGCATGTGGTGCACGTAAACACTGGAAAACCGCTTTTTGACGGGACGTCATGTCGAGATGAACTTCCATATCTTGGACAATTTTACGAAAAAGGGCACTCGCCAACGTACTCTGGGATTTAGGGGGGGGTGTCTTTAGTAGTAAAACTACTAAGGTCAGAATCTGGAAGCTTGTTACGAAGAGAAGCCAAGGCACCATCATAATCAGAATCCATACCATATATGTCGCTATCCCGTAAGATGTGATCTTGCATTATCCAAGTTTGGGCCCTTGAGGCAACAAAAGCATATGAAGTAGCCTCTACTGCCGAGTATAAACCCAAACCACCAAACCTGATGGGTAAGGAAGCAATGCGTCATTGTAGGTCACCAAAGAAAGGGCCACCACAAACCACAATGTCCTCAATGGCCCTGCGCAACCCATTGTCAAAGAATATTGCCGCCTCCTCCATGTGAACGGGTTGGCACGTCCTCAACCCAAAGAAAAGCTTAGCAATACCCATACAAGACCAAAGCAGAAGGAGCTCACTCTGAGGGTCAGAAAATTGAGGAAGAAGGTGCATCAAATTCACAGCGTTTTTGGCTCTCTTTATGGCTAAGCTGCTAATAAACCTAGCATCTCTACTAATAGCTCCCCCAAGAAGTTTCACCCCCAAATGTGGCCTCCCGATGTCAATCAGGAATAGCCCCTCACGTAGCTTCCTACCGTCGCACGAGGTCCAAAAGAGCTCGGTTTTCTTGATATTCAGTTGAAGGCCCAATTTTGGGCCAATCACCGTAATGATGTCCAACGCTTTGGCCACCTCCTTCGAATCTCCAATAAGTGTGCCATCATCAAGGTACCATGCATGGAGGAGAAGCTTGCAATTGTTGCTAATATTATGCAAGAGCGGGTGTAACACAAGAGCAAAGAGAAGTGGTCCCAAGGTATCTCCTTGTTGAACCCCAGTAGTGGACCAAATATGCGTGTTGTCAAGATACAACCTTGTTGCTTGACCATAGAGGAATTCTACCCACAAGGATATAGAAGGACATCTCAATCTGATCTCATGAAGCAACGCAGATCTGTCTACAAGGTTAAAGGCATTAGAGAAATCCACGGTAAGCATGGAGAGAGATCCGTCATCATGGCGCTCGCCCAACACCCTATTGGCGCTATGTAATATGGCCTCAACACCACCCGACACCCCGACCCCGAACTGAAAATCATTGAGATAATTGGTCATTTCCTTACCAACACCTTTCATAGCCACCTTGGAAACCAAACGTCTCCATATAGTACCTACATCAATAGGTCGTATTCCCTTGTCAGGTTTTAAGAGCGGCGTCAGAGGAGCAGAGGCAACAAATTCTGCTAAACTCAAAGGGCATCTCCCCCCAATCCATAGATTAACCACAGATGTAATAGCACGCAGGAGGTTGTTGGCTATAGTCGAACCTTCCCCACAAAGGGCATCTAAAATATGTTGAGCTATCAACCCGTCTCTCCCACACGAGGTACCTTTAGGGAAGGATTTAATTCCCCCAAGGACGTTGTCAACATCCACTACAAGGGTAGGTTCTGAAAATATGGTGTTGGGCATGGAAGGTGGTGGCTTGTATGGATGCTTATCCTCCAATGCCTTTGTGGTATCACCACCAAATGGAGCAACCCCCGAAGAACATAAAACTTTCACTGCTGCTGTAAAATGTCCATCGGCAACCTTACAAAGACATTGTCTGACATTGGCGTTGCCCGGTGTTCTTTCATCCTGAATGTACTCTTCTTTTTTGCCTTGTTGCTCCAACCTTGCATTGCCAACTAAGTTTTTAACTAGCTTGGCGATACCGTCTTCAGTCCCCCCAAGTGGCTAAAGCGCTCAAAATATTACGATGTTGGAAAGACTTCATGTTGCCAAACCTCCTTTCTTGCCTATTCTTGGGCTTGAACACCTAGGTAGAATTAACAGAGCAATCCACGCTTCAACGGACCCGGGATGAGCAACCACCTTGGAAAGGGATGCTTTAAAAGCTTGAGAGAAAGCCATGCGACAACTATGGGGGATGCTATTGAAGCTGGTTTTAGTTATAAGGTTGGGTTATCAACCTTAATGTGTTGATGTTGTAAGGTGGTAAGTCCCTAATGAAAGGGCATATGATAAGTAATGTAAAAAAATATTCAAAGTCCCAATTGTAGGGCATTTGGTATAATCAGATGATGTTTATCAAACATATGCATGCTCTATATTCCCAACAAATATATTTAATTAGATTGGTTGTTGTGCATGTTTTAAATTGGGAACAAATTAGGGAGTGGTCCATGTGGAAGTACACTATGTGTATGGGGACCATTTGTAGTGTTTTAATAATGAAAAAATGGGACTTCTGAAGCCATTAAAAAACCATATCCGGGACCATATAAAACATCCCCATGCATGCACATTATTCCAATTTTTTCCATGCATAAATATTCAAACCCAAATGTCATGATTTTACTTAAAATGGTAACATACTTTCATACTTCATGTCATACATAAATAAATGACCAACATACCCTTTTCGGTCATACATAAATAAATGACCAACATACCCTTTTCTATCATACATACTTAAATGACCAAAATACCCTTTTTTGTCATACATACTTAAATGACCAAATTACCCTTTTTTTTGCATACATAAATGAATGACCTACATACCCTTATATGTCATAAATAAATAAATAACCACATACCCTTTTTCTTTCATAAATACTTAAATGACCAAAATACCCTTTTTCTTTCATACATTCTTAAATGACCAAAATACCCTTTTCTTTCATACGTACTTAAATGACCAAAATACCCTTTTTCTTTCATACATACTTAAATGACCAAAACACCCTTTTCTTTCATACATACTTATACCCTTTAATGTCATACATACTTGAATATAAATTACCAACATCCTATTACATAAACTTTAAATATAAATTACCATCATCCTATTACATAAACTTTAAATCCAATTTACCATCATCCCATTACATAAACTTTAAACACAAATTACAATAAACACTAATCAATTACAAGAGCTTTTCCCTTCAAATTTCCTGGATCATCAACACCACCAATTGTTTTGCCTAATTTTAGCTTCAATATTCTCTCTGACTTTCTTCTCCTTATCCTCTTCAAAATCTCTGAAATTAGCCTAACACTAACCTGCTGAACTTGACTTACAGGAGCAACCTCCTAAACATTACCATTATCAACTTGGGCTTTAGGATTAACCTCGTCAACCTCCTGAACATTTACATTATCAACTTGGATAACAGGATCAACCTCCTCAACCTCCTCATATTGAACAACTTGCTCAACCACATCAGCTTCCTCACCCATAACACCCTCATCACCTTCATAACATCTAGGTGGAGTAAATTGCATATAATGACTAAAATCCCCCGCACTACTAGATTCAACGTCAGTAGGAGCAACTTTCATATCATTTTGAGTAGTATCCATCTCAATTGGAGTCATTTCAACCTCTTCATGCTGTTGTGGTTCACTTGTACTACCCTACATGGCATGATATAATTATGTTAGTAACAAATTATATGTAATTAATCTTATATTTTAAATTGTTTTACCTGTCTTGCATTTTCCTTCACACATACTTTTTGTTTCTTTTGTTTCTTCACATTTAACTTTTGGTGCCTTCTCTGTGGACAAGTGGCCTTGTTGTGACCTATCTCCTTGCAAATACTACATCTGATTTTCTTTCCAGCCTTAGAAACCTTGTGTGTTCCTGTAGTCTCTGTAGTGGATTTCTTCCTCTTAGTAGTTAGCCTACCAGGCATCCTTCTATTAATAGGAGGCAATGGTGGAGTATAGTTTGTCTGTGGCCACATGTCACTGCTATTCAACTGCATCACAACACCTTCCAGTTTGAAAGAAAGCTCTTGACCATGTTTTAGGATCTTTCTCCATGAGATATTAATGGGCATTTGGGTTCAATGTCTCAATTTCTTTCATCACAACTTTAAAAGCATGCTCAGTTGTGGCTTTAGATGCTCTCCAAAACAAGGTATGATATATGGCACCAGTAAATCTCTTCTGCAAATTCTGGAAAATATGTCTAGCACACTGCCTGTGCTCTGCACATGGCAACAACTCTTTAACAGCCTCTATCAAACCCTGTAGTAGTAAAAAGGTTTAATTAAGATAGTGTAAAATTAACATAAATGCATTACTATGTAAGATACTAACCTTATGTTGGTCTGACATTAAACTGAAACCATTGCCTAAATTCAAGTGTAGATCATCAATGAGAAGCTCTAGAAACAACTTCCAATTCTGCTTGTTCTCAACATTAACCACTGCCCAAACAATAGGATATATCTTGTCATTTGCATCCCTCCCAATAGCACAAAGCAATTCTCCCTTACAAACATCTTTAAGAAAACATCCATCAAGACCAATTACCCTTCTACACCCCTCAATCCAACCTTGTTGAACTCCTTGAAAACAACAATAGAACTTGCTAAAATATTTCTTTTCATCTGGACCATCCTCCATATCTAGTTTCACAGTTGACCCAGGATTTGTCCTTAAAATCTCATGACCATATGACCATAGCTTACCATAATGTTCAACAAGGTTACCTTCAACAAGTTTCAATGCATATTTCTTTGCTCTTCTACACTGCCCCATACTAACTTGGATACCAAACTTGGCCATTACCTTTAACCTAAGCTTCCTTACACTTATTTTCTAACTTTCTACAATCTCTTTGGTATAGTGACTTCCAATCCATGCATATGTCACCAATGATCCAAACTTGAAGTTCCTAGCACAATTATGATAAACTTTTAGTGACTTGATTTGGAAACTCTCTTCATCACTCATCCAGGAAGCCCATAATCTAAATGTGCAAGCACCCTTGCTACAACTCACCAAAAGTATTGTCCTATCATTTTTTTTCAAAACACAATTCATATCCATTAGCTACAGCATAGTTACACAACATTGATTTTACTTGCCCTGGACCCTTAAATCTCATTCTTAGAATTGGTTTTTGTTTTTTCCAGTGTAATAGCTCATTAAATATGGAATGAGTTTGTATGTTAACTTCAACTTCTCTCCCATTGTCACCATCTACAATGTTGTTTGCATCATCATCATCAACGCATAACTTACTCAAGAAAGGATCATTTAATGTCCTATTCATATGCACTACATCCTCATTAAATTCAAAGGCAACATTTCTAAGTTCATCTATGTTGTCTTCATTTTCACCATCAATACAAGACTCATGTTCATCATCATCATTATCTTCATCATCATGCCACCCATCAACACCAACCCAATATGATCCACATAAACCGAAATTACACCATCTATTCCATAAGCATCAAAAATAAAAGCAGAATATTCCACATCATCTGAAATGGGATTAAGCCCTTCCATCAGGGACATGTCTGGTTCACAGTAGTAAAATTCTTTACACTCTTCATGCATGAAACGTTCGCAGAAGGTCACAAACTCAGAATAAGTCATAGAAGAAAAGTCAACATCATTGAAGATGGTTTTAACACCACCAGTGTAAGAGAAAGGATTTCGATTAAATACCACTTGGTAGTTGAGTTCCACCATCGCAAACAGTCCATTAGGTTCCGATTGTGCCATTGCTATGGCTTCTTTGTTTCTTTCAGCTCGATCACAGGAATGCTTCACAAACCCTAAATTAGTTTCTTTTAGAGCTGAATAATGAAGACGAAGACAAGCGAAGTTTGATAGCTGAAAACGAAAGGCTTTAAGCTTCGTATATCATTAATTGATGTGACATATCTCACGTGGCATCGAATTAGACAAAAAATATATATTAATTGACAAAATGGTATCGTATAACCGGGAAACCTTCTAAAAGTTGATAAAATGGTGTAAATAAAAGGTCAATTACGAGTTTACTGGTCTAATGTACCAAAAAACAAAAACTTTAAGGACCAAATTAGCCCAATGTAAAAAGTTCCATGTGCTACAGTTACATTATCATCTTTTAAATCAAAGCGATTTTTCAAACAATTATAATTTTATGTTTAGGAGAATTTTTTATATTTATATAACATTATGTAGCTTATTTATAATATTATTATAAACAATTTGAATAATCATGAGCATTCCAAATGTATGTGGTGAGAGAAAATTGCTTAATTTATCGGTCCTAATGGATCAAACTCATGCCGATTAAACTCAATATAGCAAACTACATAACGTTTTTTCTATTGAAACCCGGTTTGTATATAATTTGTGTTTTTGAATCAAATTCACTTCTTCAAATAATTATAATTTTATGTTTTGGTAACTTATTTATAATATTATTAGAAACAATTTGAAAAATCATAGGAGTTTCACATGTATGTGTTGAAATGAAAATACTTCCTTTATTGGTCCAAATTGATCAAACTCGGACTTTTTTCAACTGAAACTCGGTTTAGGACTGAAAAAATCATGTTCAAAACCATTTTCGGAATTCTAAAACTTAATTAGACAATTATCAATAAAGACAATATCACTAAAGAATAACCCCAATATCCTAAAAATGTGGTCATAAGGAAGTTCCAGATTGGTCAGAATCGACAGAAAAGCTATGCCAACAAGCAACGTTCAAACTTTGAGTTTCAGTTGGGCGGCATGGTCCTCCTGAAGGTGTCACATTGGAAAGGTGTCATCCGATTCAGGAAGCGGGGCAAGCTGGGCCCCAGGTACATTGGCCCTTTTAGGGTTATACCTCGGGTATGCAAAGTGGCGTACCGATTGGATCTTCCAGCAAAGCTCATCCTGATCCACAACACTTTCCATGTTTCTTATATGCGGAAGTGCTTAGTGGATGGCTCAGCGGTTGTGCCTCCATAGGACATTTAGATTGATGACAACCTGAATTACATCGAGAGACCAGTAGCTATTCTCAACAAGAAGACGAATGAGTTGAGGAACAAGAGGGTTAAGCTGGTAAAGGTGTAGTGACAACACTGCAATGGTTCAGAGTGGACTTGGGAGCTCGAGGAGGATATGAGGGAGCACTACCCGGAGTTGCTTCCAGACGCGGAAAACTTCGAGGACGAAGTCTAAGAAAAGTAGGGTAGAATTATAATGTCTGTTTCCTGGTACGCATTTAATTACAATTTATTCATTTTTATAGAGCAACTCGACGAGTTGGTAGCCCAAACTCGTTGATCAAAAACAATAAAGGATGCGGGTTTTAAGCAATCTACTCGACGAGTTTAGAGCCCTTAACTCCGCGAGTAGGTCTGCCATAGTGAAATCCTAATTTTGGGGTTTTGCACCCTATTTAAGCATTCTAATCCCCACTTACTGGCCTCATTTCTAGCCTCCAAGTCCCAAACCCTAGTTTTAGAAACCCTAATTCATTTGTGAGCTTGTGAGCCATTTTTGAGTGATCCTTGTGTGTTCTTGAAGTTTGTGGAAGAAGGAGCTAGAGGACTCAAGGACAAGAGAGTAGATACAAAGGGCCTTTTAAGCCCCAAAGGGTCATGTATGGGAGTAAAGTTAGGAGCGGTACGTGTTCAAATGATGTCTAACGCCTAGATTTGTGTTAGTATGCTTTAGTTTGGAGTATTTTGACTTTTGGACCAAGATGTATGTCATAAAGAGTTAGGGTTTGAGCTAAACCCTTGAAGAAGTGCTATTAATGGGTAAAGTTGGAAATTTTACCCTTAAAAGGACATTTACAGGGTGCATGAGGAATAATAAGCTTAGATCTGAAGAGTATGGGCTTAATCCTTTAGGAATGCCCAAACAAACTGAAGAACCCGTCGAGTTCATAGAGGAACTCGACGAGTTGAGTCGTTTTGTCTAAAATCTGTACCAGATAGAACTCAACGAGTTAGGGGAGGAGGGGGTGACTTGACGACTTGGAACACGATTTCATGATTTTTGAGTTATAGAACTCGAAGAGTTGATAGGTCAACTTTGCGAGTTGATTCAACTCATAATGTTGACTTTGACTAGGGGTAAAATGGTTATTTTACCCTTAGAAGGATTATCAATTTTTAACTAAGTGATTATTGTAATAATGATAGTCAGGGATTCGTTTGAGCATAAATTAGAGATTCCTCACACGAGATTTCAGCAGCCGGCTTGAGAGACGAGATTTCCTCCAGTAGGAACGGGTTGAAGGCACTAATGCCGACCCGTTTATGTATGTTAGCATATGTTAAACTTCAATCCGATGTCGTGGTTAGCTCGATGTAGATTACATGTTTCCGGACTTTGCTCCGATGCCGGGGTTAGCCCGATGTAGATTATATGTTTCCAGACTTCGGTCTGATGCCGGGGTTAGCCCAATGTTGATTATATGTTTATGGACTTTGGTTTGGTGTCGGGGCAAGCCCGATGAATGTTTGTATGCTTAATGTCTTCGTGATTCTTGCATGTGTATGTTATATGTTCCGGGCTTCGGTCCTATGTCGGGGCAAGCCCGATGAATGTTTAGCTTATATGTTATGTGTTATATGTTCCGGACTTCAGTCCGATGTTGGGGCAAACCCGAGGAATGTTTAACTTATATTTTTATGTCATGTGTTTATGTTATATTCTTGTTGATATGTTATATGTATACCAGACTTCGGTTCGATGTCAGATTTGTCCGATGTCGGGCGTGACCCGATGTAGTGGGAAAGGTCCAATGTATGATATTATGTGATTATGTGTTTGGTATGTGGTAGTTTGGGGAGACTCACTAAGCTTCATGCTTACAGTTTTCAGTTTTGGTTTCAGGTACGTCCGATAGCAAGGGGAAGAGCTTATGATGATTGCAATGCACACACCATTAGTTCAGCCTGGGATGTTTAGACTTTGATATTTTGACATGTGATTTTGATACAATATTTTGATATGATGTTTTGAGATACATGACTTCTGATCTTTATTATTATGATGTTTGATGAATTATGGTTTTCTTAAATGATTTAAAACGAAATTTTTGGACCGTAATTTGGGATGTTTCAAGTGCCTCAAACGTTATACCTCTAATGGAGCCACAAACAACACTTAACAAAGGATGAAGGAGAGAGGTGATGGAGGCTCTATAGAATCCAGCTAAGGTTCTCTAAGAATGCTTAGGGCCTAAAGCTGTAGGTCAAAGGTCCTTTATATAGCTGAGGCTGCTAAGGTTTTAGGTGGAAACCCTAATTCTCGGCTTAAGCCTTAAGCAATCCATGGACACCTTCTAGAAGATCTCTTGGACAAAATCTTTTATGGATTTTTCATAGATTTCGTCCAGCCCCTCCAAGGTAATCCAACATCCAAACTTGCAACTATTAGTGATTTGCAGTATCAGTCCCCTTACTTTTAATTAGTCCCCTTACTTTTAATTACTTTATTTTGATCACTAAATCAATTTCAAATCAACTTCTTATCAATACTAATTAAATAGTATGATTTCTCAATTAATATATTATTCAATTATTTTCCACTCATATACACACAAAGCTTTTTTGGGTAGTATTTCTCTCATGTTAGATTTTTTTTTTTTTTTTTTTTTTTTTTGAATTTTCTAATTTTAAATCAAGATTTTGTTTTCATTTTACCCCGCACATTGATCTTAATGCATTGTCTACGACAAAAATAAACAACTTTATATAAATAATATAACTATAATTGGGTAGATTTGTCAATTGTCATGATGCAATGCTATAATTAGAACAAATGGAAATAAGATGTTATAAAAGATGTTGTTATTCTTGATTGATTTGAAATGTCAATCTTTCAATTCTTTTCTGGTGATGACCAAAATTTTTCCTTGGAAGATAACATCATTTGCAGGTGATACCCGAGCATTTAAAGTGAATTTCACATCATTTCATCCTAATTCGGTTGTTTTGGTGCCAATCTTCTTCCATTTACTTTTCCTTGTGTCTTCTGGTCTTGCAATTTCAGGGCAAAATGGAGATAACTAATTATGTTCACAATCCTTAACATTTTCTTTACGGACCGAGGTATTAATAGATCAAGTCCAATGTTTTAGAATGAAAAACAAGCATGATAATTTAAGATTAAGGACTTGATCCAACTTTGGACCCAATAATCAAATACCCCCTTATACTTTTGAGAGACTACTACATTTTGCTTTCTTAAAATGTTTGTTGGACTGATGGATGTTGGAGGGTTTGGAGCAAATGAGTTCTACATCTATTTATAGGTATATCCACCTCCTCCAAGATTTTTCTACATCTATTTACTATCTTTTAGAATGTATTTAAATGCTGATTTTTCCCTAAATTGAAGTGGTTACTTGTTTCCAAGAAAGTTTCGAAAACGGTGATATCAAAATGATAAAAAAAAAAAACAAAAAAAAAAACAGAACCAAACATCCACACAACAACTTCTGATGCCTAAATCTCGATCACCTTGAAGACGATAACGACGAACCACTTCAACACCGATTAGCCACGATAAAAGCAAGCGAGTTGTGGTGGGTTCGAGGAATAAGGAAACACTATAAAACAACTTGCTATACTTACGGGAAAATTTTGACTAACATCTTGCAATACAAAAGAAAAAAATGTGGTTTTTTTTTTTTTTTACATCAGGAGCAACATGTATTAAATGATATGCAAGTCCTAAAAATGTAACCAAAGACGGAGAACCCAGGACATTGTTTTTGGTGAAAATAGCGATTCAAGATTAATATGAATATAATAACTAATTTTTTGATTTCTTTAATTTATATAACATCTTTTATTTTTACGTGTTTAATGTTTTTCATTTTTATTTTAATGAATGGAATGTTTTTATTTTAATTAAACATCACATAATATTTTAAGATTACTTGTTTTAAATAAAGAAATAAATAAATAGTAAAACGAAAATTATTTTGCTGTGATGAGACGTGTGCATTTCCTATGGTAAGTCATGTGGAAGTGTGACCATATGCGTTGATGCAATACAACTTTTAGAGTGGGTAGGTGATAGATACATCTCATAGCCTTATGTCATTATATATATATATATATATATATATATATATATATATATATATATATATATATATATATATATATATATATATATATATATATATATATATATATATATATATATATATAGGGCTAGGTTCAAATGTTCTTGCTATTGTGTGCGCATATGCACAAATCTGGACCAACGGATGAAATAGAATCAATGATCTTGATCTGAGGGTCTATGATATTAAAATAGGGTAACATGTACCATATAATAACATAAATTTCACCATAAGGGTATTTTGGTCAACTAACCTATATTAAAAAAGGAAATTTCCAGATTTTAAGGGATAATTAATACCCTTATTTTTAAAAATATGAATTTTTTAAATTTAATTCGAATATAATTTTTAATAATATCCGATTTCATTCTGTTAGAATGACATGAAAATCAACCATAAACTAGTAAATATATTTTTGATTTTATTCTTGTAGAATATGATTATATTCAATATTTATATATATTAACATGCTTAAAGAATTATATTACATATTATCAACACTAACATTTTATAAATAATACATGTCTTCTTGCACTAATAATATATCAAATAATTACATTGTATGATTGTGATACAAAAAACATTCTTGAATAACAACAAAATTCTGAAAGAATGACAAGTGTAATTCTTTAAAACATAACAAGATTCTTAAAATGTGAGTGTGATCAATCTTTGATTCATTCTTCAAACATTTCCTATCATGTCTTCAAACCATTCTTCAATCAATTCCTATAAAAAATGCAACAAAAACTAAGAATGGTTAAAAAAAATATCGTATTCTTTAAGAATGACTTTACTGAACATGTTCATTTTGTGGAAAAATATCATAGCAAATCTATTACAAAAAAGGCAAACACAAATTCTAAAAGAATCATTAACTCTAAAGTGCAATTACCATTACTGCACTACCATTATTCTGACAGAATATATATATATATATATATATATATATATATATATATATATATATATATATGCCATTTTAAATTTTGGCAGAATGCATATAATATTTTAAATTGGCATTATGGGTTGTAATTCTGATAGAATATAGCAAACATTAAAAAAATTGTAACTTATTCTAATAGAATGTAATCTTCAAAGTATAAATTTTGATAAAATTCAACACGTTCATTCTGTGATCAATCGGAAGACATGAATAAAAAAAATACCTAGATTTCACCGGAGAAGAAGAATCGGCGACCACCACCACATCCTCTCCACCTCCTGACCTGCTTCGATCGGAGCAACAACCCCACCCCGTTGCTTCTCCTTTTGTTCTTCGGTCTAATCACTCATCGGAGATCGATACCTCCTCCCCTCGCTTTCTTTCTCTTCTGTTCCCATCGATCAAGGCCTATGAAGATTCGACTTCATCGTTGATTTCTTTGCCCCATCGGAACCCCTCCTGCCCTCTAATGCCCTCTGATCAAACCTCTAGCACATCTTCCCTTCTACAGTAGCCCAAAACCTCCGAAACCCCACTGAATAGCAGGGACCAATGCTAAGAAAACGAGAGGGAGGATAAATCGATGTATACGTGATCGGCTAGGGTTTTTTTCAACAGATTTTGACTACATCCCATATTTAAATGAATAATAAAGAACATATTAATTATCTACCATATTTAAATATGTCAAGATTACTATAATACCCTTAAATGATTTATTTAATAATTAATTATTTCCTGAATTCTTATTGGTGCACACAGTCACACAATAGTTGTCAAAAACATTTGTACCTATCTCTCTCTCTCTCTCTCTCTCTCTCTATATATATATATATATATATATATATATATATATATATATATCAATTAGATTGGCTAAACATTATTTTTTTTATCAGTTAACATTTAACTTTTCAGCTAGCATGTAATTTTTCAGATATCATATAACTTTTTAACTAGTCCGTCAAATATAGTATTAGGCTTTATTTGACGTTTATCAAGTAACTTTTCGAGCTTATTAAAATTTAGTGTTTGATGAAACCATAAAAATAATTTACCGGAACTTACAAAGTAACTTATAATTTTGTTTTCCATAAGTTATTTGAGATAACTTATTGATATGCTAACTTATGAGCTAAAAACCAGATTTTCACTTTTATACGCCAAACATAACATTCTATTATCGTAGTTAAAAATGTATATTAAAAACAAATTACCAGAATGTATACGTTCTTTTTGTTTCAACAGAATGTTCTATTACTTTTTATTTTTGACGCGGTGTGTATTATAGCTTTTCTTTTAACATAAGTAAACATTTTCATAATAATTATTGAAAATTCAAACTTTAGCATGATTGGCATAAAAGGCATACAAAAAGATAAGCTCAATAAAGCCGGCGTTCATTTACGTGTTGACAAAAGTACCAACAAACAATGTTGCAATTTGCAATGGTCCATGTACAAAGATAACAGGAAGAAAAAAAAAAAAGATAAACGAATCAGCTTTTTGGACAAAGTTTTTTTAAGAACAAACAAAATTAAAAAAATCATCATCATCATCATCCATCATTTTTGTAGATTTCAAAAGAAAGAGCGACCGGAATTATTCTGTTATGGCGGGGGATGGTGGCGGTGTTGGCAGCGGTGATGTAGGTGAAGCCATAGCCAGCTTTAAAATAAACCCAACCAGTATCCCAATAATTCCAGCAACTATCGCCAGTTTTAACGAGAATCCAGCTGCTGCTGGAGCTGGTTTTTGGTTCTTTTTCTTTAGCATTTCCTAATAGGAAAACCAAATTAATATGATTAGTTTGTTATTTTAATATAATAATTAAACTTAAAAGCAAGTTTTTTTAGGGTTCAGTAAAGTAACGAATTTATAGGTTGAGGGTAAAGATGTAAATTTACCAGTTCTTGTTGCAGCTGGGTTGCTTCTCTCACAGCTGAATCCCTAGCAGCTCTTGCAGTCTGAATTGCTTGATTCTGCATTGAAAGAAAAGAAAGGAATGGAATCTGCATAAATGCAATCATACTTTCTCCCAAAATCTTTGGTTTTAGCGTTTAAAATGTTTTGGAAATAAATGGAATTGGAATTGGAATCGGATTCGGAATATGAACTTTGATGCATTTGCTTGGCACAATTAAAATTAGTTAACTTTATGTTTCTAATAGTTAGATAATTTTGTTGATTTTTTAATTTTATTAGTTTTAATACAAGGGTATTTTGGTCTTTTATAAAAAATAAAAAGATTCCACCTTCCCATCTGAATTGTGAAATCCATCAAATGTGAAGGATTTTAAATTAGATTTTATCCATATGACAACCAAACGCGTCACGGAATGGAATCACGCATTCCAATTGTATTGGATTCCATCGGAATCAGCAAAGCGGAAAAGGAATTGCTATGGAACTCACAGAGTTAGGATCGGAATTCTGTTTGGGAGCATCACCGGAATTGTTATTCCCCTGAAGAGCGATATACACGACCTTAAGCTTGCATTCCTCTAAGTGTTTACCAGGTTCCTTACTAAACTGGATTTGGAACAATTACAACATTTAACTGTGTCATTTATCATTTCAAATATGGAGCTTCATTATAAAAAAAATGAACATATTCTGGAATTATATATATTCTTACAGTATTTGCAGGAAGCTCTTCAGTGTCAGTGATTGAGGGCACAGGGGTGCTTTGTAGAAGAAATTTATCTTTGCATAGCATATCTGGAGGGTACTCAAGTTGTGGTTGAAGGGTAACTAAATTTATATCAATAACTTGAAGTTAGAAGGCTTGTAATTACTAAATCAAGATCTTAATTATTAATTATAGTCTTAAAAGTTAAAATGGTGTAAATAGTAGCAGCAGTATTATTGGTATTTAGTATTTAGTACCTCTTATGACACTTGTATCCCTGGGCTGTATAACACCAGTATTTGGTCGTACAAAGTATTTCTTGGGTGAAGTAGTTTTGACCTAGCAAAAAACAAAGAAAAGGAGGAAAGATTATATTGGTGAATGCATCATGAGCTAAGTTTCAAATTACATTTGAATGTCGTTTGAACATGAAACAGATGAACAAAGCAACCAGGAAAATGTTAAGTAATTTAGGGCAAAAGCATACCTTAAAGGCAACATGTTTGTCTGTGGCATTGGAGACTTTCAAATCGCAATGGCTTGCTTTCTCCAGTTCAACTGTTAAATTAATGCTTAAGCAATCAGAATCAGCATCTATAATGTAATCGTGCATAAGAAGCATGAAAATATATGCGATCGTTAGCTTTTCCCCTAAAATGTAATCTTATGCACGTCATGGAATGATGGAAATGCAATAGCCTGCAACTTCCGGCTCCATGTATGTGTTCTAAATTACAAGTCCAACACCAGATCGCCAGTTTAGATCTCAACATAATTCAACAGAGATCGATGTTTTTTCTACTCATTCTCTCTTACGTTGCACAAATTTCCTCAAAAAAAAAAAAAAATCATCATTAGTTGAATTTTTCCGAATCTACAACTCTGAAAAGCGACAGGCTGAACACATTAAGACTAGCACGTTCTTCGCGTTCAATATCACTGGCGCTAATAAAAAATTCTGGACACAACTCAACTAATAAGCAACAAATCGTGGCTGATCTATTCGGACCTAAACGAAAACAAATTATCGAACTCAATCTGAATCAAAATTTGGATTTCTAAACCGCTTCACCAACAATTGAACATACAATATATCAGAGAAAAAAATTAAATTAATAAACAACGCAACGAGGAAGAACGTATCAACAGAATCAAATGCACTAACATCTATGCAAATTATGCTTACATTGAAACCTGAGCTCTTCAGGATCGACAGTGATTAATTTGTTACCGCTAGCGCTAGTCATTGGTGCTAAGATCAACGCGTAAAGGTGAAAAATGATGTAATCTCTCTTCCGTTAAATTAACACGGCGGCGGCCAAAATGCAACAACACGACCTGTCATGAATTGACGATCGGAAAACAAACGGTGTTCTGGATCCGTAAAAGAAATGAAGTGAAATGTTTTTACTCTCTTCCGATTATCAGGTTCAATAGGAAGAGGAAATGAGAATTGAGGATCAGATTATTGATTGAATTTGGTACGAACAGGTGTCGTGGTGGTTGATGGTGTTGGTGGATAAAGCGGTGCGCAACCTTCGGAAACGGAATCTCTCCTCCGGTCACGGTGTGTGTACGTGAGAGCGCGCATCTATCTGACAAGAGTATGTACTTCAGGGGATCGGAAGGTACGAATCACCGAACATATGGTCATAAATTACAAGAACAGTCCCTATATTATGTACTTAGTATTTTTATACCCCTTAACTTTGGATTTTATGTAATCATAGCCGTTTTAATCTATTTTTCTTTATTAGATACCCATGTTACATGAATAATTTCTACCAAAGAGGCTCAAATCTTTGTTTCTCACTTGAAACAATATTTTTTTAAAAAGAAAAGGTGCTAATATTTACACTTGCTAAATTATGCAAAAAAAAAAAAAAAAAAAAAGGGTAATGGTTACTCTTATCCATTGGGGATTTGAAATATTTCAAACTTGTGTTAGCTATTATATAGGAGCATGTGTTGATTAGTTAATGTTAGAAAGGGACAATCACAATTTTTATCAAGTTATCGTACATGAAGCATGTGATCAGCATCAACTTTTTTCTACTCATCAATGACTTGATATTTGACATTTTAATCTAATAGTTGCAATATTTATATTCGTTCAATTCTATGGTCATAGAAACCTTAAAAAGGGTTGATGAATACATTACCGGTTGTCCTTTTACATTTTCTATTGGAATATGTTCCATGTGTGTGACACATTTGTAATTGTACATGTACATTGTCTTGATTAAACAAACTTCTTGTTCCTTGGATGATCAAAACTTTGTTATTTATCATGATAGGTCGTGTTTTTTATATTACAAACCGCACATTCATACAAATTTCTCATGTGATACGTGAAACCTTGCAATTTTTTGTTGATGGTGCTAGCATAACAGTTATCTCATGTTTTAATCCGTTTACTTCTACAATTATTAGGTCACCCAACTTAGTCTTGTTTTACGTGGTATTCACATTATGTTACAATTTCCGTGCTAATTCGATCAAACTATAATAGATCGGGCAAAACATTCTATTAGGGAGTTTGGTCTTGACTTTTCTGTCTTGTACTTTTAACAATTGCAACAAATACTTGGAAAATAATTATATCAACAAATATGAAATTGTCAACACAATGCACATGCTCAAGGGTTTGTTTCATTTATATCTATTGACTTTGTTACTTTTGTACGAGCATACCTAACTTATTTGTTTTCCTAGAACAACAAAATAATATTAAAAATCAAGAGCTACCGTGAAGTTAGAAACTAAGGTATCGTTTGTTTTTTTGAAGCGAAAATGTCTGAAATCTACAAACCATCTCTGTAATTCTCTATAGCAGAAGAGGGTGATCAAACGGCTGTAACATGTAATAAAAAGTTTGTATGTTTTTTAACATCAGTAGACTGCTACAACAAGTTAAAGTAATGTGTGAAGATGTTTGAAGCAGAGGGTCAAGTGTTGCGTCACGTAGCACACGCACAACAATTTTTAAATCATAAATCTTCTGAAAAACAAACAGTTTCAAAGGGCCAAGTATTGCACGTGTGCTACGCGACATTTATTGAATGGTTATAAGAGAATTTAGAAAAAACAAACACCACTTAACTCATTTATTACGTATAGTTATTTATTTTTCTTGATCTAACATATCATCTATTCTATAAAAAAAAAAAACTATTGGAGCTAAAGGCGTATCTTTATTAGGGCTAGGGGGCTGTGCCCCCCCCCCCCCTCCCCTGATTTTTTTTATCACTATTAGTCGTTATACTTTAATTTTCTACATATTAGATCCAAAAATATAAAATTTTGGCTATACCCCCTGCTTATTGATTTTTATACATATTATATTTCCAGTCCCCAAATAAAATATTGAAGCTCCGCCCTGATTGAAGCAATAAATTTTCACTACATGTTTGCACCATATGTTTGGTAAATAATTGTGGGTGATGTTTATCTTATCCTCAAAGAAGGTGTAGTTAAAATCAATTTTTTTTTTTTTTCAAACCACTCCTTCAGTTCCTTACCAACGGTACCCCAACTTCTAACTAATTAACACGTGTAGCCGTGTAGGGTTGAGTAGAATGATAGAATCCATTACACTGTAGGGTTAAATACAAAGTCTTAGGACTAAACTTGACAGTAGGTTCATAGCTTAGGGACCAAAACTTCTAAAAAACTACTTTCAGAATCATAAAGATAGAGAGTGGAGGTTGGGCCGGGATGATATGGCATTGACACCACGCGTCCATGCGTCGCTTTAAAGGCACGATGAATGGTTTCTTTAAAGATAAAGAAGAGAATTATCATTCACATAATTTGAATATTATAGTAAGACAACATTGAATATAAACACATTTTATAAAGTTAACATATTTTCGTTAGGGGCTGCAAAATTTTATTCAGATGGGGACAAATTCTTCGATTAAGCACATTTTATATAACTAAAGGTTCATACAAAAAAACAAAGTAGGGAAAATAGTTATTTATGCTATGAAATGAGAAGCTAAGTTATATATATATATATATATATATATATATATATATATATATATTATATATATATATATATATATATATATATATATATATATATATATTAACCGTTTAACCGCACCAAACGCCGGGTTTAAAAATTAATTTCTAGAAACAATTAATTCTTTTGTTCAAATAGTTTATTATATTAAAACACTTATCCGTAGCAATCATGCAAGCAAAAACAAAAAACAATATGAATTAAAAAGGGTAAATTACACCAATCGTCCCTCGTGCAGGTACTGAAAAGCGCGTTTAGTCCCCATTTTCAAAAATTAACTCGGATCGTCTCCCATTTGTCTAAAACATGCACGCTTCGTCCCTTATACACATTTTTGTTGCAATATTAGTCCTTTCCATATCTGAAATGACCATAATGCCCTTTATGTTTATATTTTACAATTAATTTTATGTTATTATCATCATTACTAATTAAGAAAGAAATAAAAATATATATGTGGTCCCACTTCATACCCAATCATTCCCTTTACTGTCTCTCTTCTCCAAACTCTTCAAAAACAGTAATGCCCTTTAAGACACCTTCAGTGGATACCACCGTCGTTTTACCTCCGACCACATTCATGGAATGCACCGCTGTTTTACACACATCACACTCCAGCCACCATCTTTTCCGACATAAGTGTTTTTGAACCGTCTAAAATCGATGCCTCCATCTGTGATTCAATCTTCGATCTCTGATATCCGTTAGCTAGGGCTTCGTCACATGTACCCAGCCATCGGCGTCGGCTAGGGTTTCGATAAATGTCATCAAGCTTTATGCATTTCGACATATTTATAGAGACCGATCTCTGCCTCCATCGTGACTGAGATATAGAGATAGCGAGCTCCACATTTTGAAGTCGATGTCGATGTAAGCGTGGTGGTTGGATGATATCAGGTGTAAGGTGGAGAAGGCGATGAACAGTGTAGGTTTCACCTGCACCTCCTCTTAATTGATCATAGGAGTATGGTTTTATGTCCCCCAACCTTCGACCCTATATCTCTCAATCATAGATTCCTCTTCAAGTTTCTTCTTCTTTTTTTCTTTTGGGTTACAGGTCTGATCAATTGAAGATTAGTAGATATGGTAGGGTAGGTGATGGTCCCGATGGTCGATTATGATGGATATTGGTGGTTGTGAATGACAATAATGAACGGGAAGGGGAGGTGTCGGAGTTTAAGGATGGGATGAGAGAGAGAGAGTGTGTGTGTGTGTGTGAGTGTGAAAGAGAGAGAGAAGCGGTGGTTACCGGTGGCGGTGGATGGTGGTCGGAGGTCAAGGGTGGCCGGAGGTGGATGGTAGTCGGAAGTGACTGCAATTCGAGGTGGTTGATGGCCAAAAGGGTTTGAACTCCTTTTTAAGGGATGTTTCCTTTTCTAAAAATAATAATTATAAAAAAATAATAGATAAGTTATAAACAATTAAAAAATAAATGAAAAAGAAAAAGAAAAGGGCAAGATAGTCATTTTACGTCTGTGAGGGACGTAACGTGCACCTTTTAACGATACGAGGGACGAACCAAGTTAATTTTTGAAAATAGGGACTAAACACGCTTTTTGGCATATGCATGAGGGACCAACGGTGTAATTTACCCGAATTAAAAATGAGAAGTTGAGATTCTTTATAGAAAAAACATCATAAATGGTCCCTGTGGTTACCAAAAATCTGAAGTTTAGTCCTTATGGTTTAAAAACCTCATAGATGGTCACCATGTTTTCAAAACTTTTGACGATTGGTCCTTATTGCTAACTCCGTTAACTTTTTTCCGTTAATTGAATGACATTTTCGTCATTTCACACCACATGGACCATTTATGATGTTTTCAGCTATTTTTAAAAAAAAAGGAAAAAGTAAATATAATTAAAAAACGAAAAGCTCTCTCTCTCTATCTCTCCCTCCCTTTCCCTCTTACGTACCCTCTTTCTATATCAAGACCCCTTTCTTTTGGTTCATCGTCACCGGTGACGAACATGAAGACATAAAGAGCTCGAATCATGGTGATCTTTTTGAGGAAACTGAAAAAGTTAAGAGTTTCTATCAAGATGGATCCGGTTGGTCGATTTCTATGTCCGATTTGGTCGATTTCTACATCCGATTTCACTTAGGTTTTCATTGTTTTCACTGTGTGTATGTGTATGTTTTTTTTTCTAGAAATCGATTTGTATGTGTGTGTTCATCCCGGATCTCTGTATAGATGTGAAAACATTATAGTCTTGAATTGCTTCAATTGGAATCGTGCTAACTTTAAGCATCTGATAGAAAGAAAAGGTAGCAGGCGAGGAGAGGATACGAGTTTTTTTGGAGTTGAAGGTGAAGAGGAAGCTTATTCTTGGCAGTTTCGGTAAATCCCAAGTGGAATTTTTGGCATTACTGCAAGATCTTATCTTTCTTGGTGTGCGATGGAAGAAGACGAGGGCTTCAATCAAATTCTGGTTTTTGGAAAGAACAGGAAAGATATAAAAGCAAAGTGAACGACCCACCTTCCACCGTCCGAATCCACCATCTTGTCAGAAAATTATAGACGAAGCGGGCGGTGGTGGTTCTTTGGAGGTGAAGTACAAGAAGAAGATAGCGCACATCTAGATGCAAAACTACGACCTGCGATGAGA